GAAGTCCCTGCCTACAAAAGATATTCCTCGGCCTATGAAATCCTTGTTAAGTAAAAGAAATACCATAATTGGTCAACTATATTTTTCATGGTATATCTGATTCATGTTTGAAAAATGATTATTCTCACTAATATTGCAAATCATATCGCAATTGCAATTTCAAGTTAAAATAATCCCAATGAGTTATTTTTGTCCAACTCTTGAATTGCTAGCTGGCAGTGAGCAAAGCAATAGGACATAAACGACCTTTCCAGATATCTGTGCTCTTGTTGTGCGTAAGCATCGTCCGCAGACAAACCTGCACGGTCAGTCCATTTTTTTCCCACCCTCTGGGAACCTCAGAGGAAGCACCATGTCACAACACATTTGTGCAGTGGAGCATGAAGTCTGCAGCAGACTGTCTTCAAAGCAACGTCAAGCATGTCATGCAGTTATAACCATGCCATCTGAGGGCAATCGCCACTTTTGTATGTGAATGTCTTCCAACAGACATACAGAGAAGCTAAATGTGATTTATTAACACGCCCTACTCTCTTATTATCTGTTATTACCACATTATGTATCAGTTTTATTTTGTATGTCAGTGAAGAACAACGCAGTCCCAGCTCCAAACGGGACAGGGGTGAGAGGGGGAACGCATCCTATTGTCCAGCTGATGTAGGGCAGAAAATGAGGGCAGCAATTATGAGAATGTCAAAACAGTCCCCATGGATTTTCAGCCCCTCCCACAAGGTCTATCTGATCACAACCTCTTTGTTTTAACACTGACATTTCTGACAACCTATTAAGTATTGCCCCAGAGCTAATATATTTACAAACATCCTTCAAAAAAAAAGTTAAAAGTGGGATTTTTCTGTGTCTTTAAATCTATTTTGTACAGTTTACACATTTTGAAAAGTAACCCTGTGCTGTCAAATTACCCCATCAGTCAAACAAAATGTTATGTCTTTAATTCCTTTATTTAAAGGTATTCTGATTTCTTTTGTAATCTTATGTGATTTTGGACTGTTAGTTGGGATGTGAAGAGATCACCTTGGATTTATGGTAATGATGGTTTTTTTATTGTTTGGAATTTGTGTAGAACAAACAAATACTCTAGTAAGGATGGCAAAAATAATTTTAGGTTGACATAATAGTTAGTTGCGCCTCCATTATTGTTTAAGACTACAGGCTCTCAAGCGAAGGTCTCTAACCCGCACTACTATGATTAGTAGAACGTAACTTTATAACAACAAGCTTCGTCAGGCCTGCTCGCCCAGCTGAGAGCGGGTCTGGTGCTTTTGGACTGTTATTCATGTTACCCTGCAGTTATGCTGACGGGACTTCTGCCTCTAATCTAATTCCTGCACCGTTAATGGAATAGAAGCTGCTTCCCTGTGAAGATGCAAGATGGCTTAGGAAATATAATTTGGAGGTTAGAGCGAGTGTGGAGTCAAATGTAACAACAGCAATGTGTGGAGTCATGAAAGGGCCTCTGCTGACTCACAGAGCATGCTTCATGTGATCGAATCATCTCTGGCCTGGCCCAAAACTAATACAGCTATAGAGAGGTTACTTCATTTGTTATCACTACATGTGTTTGAATTCATGTGTTCAAGTACAGAATACAAAGTACTATTCATTTAACTTAGTAGAAAACGGACCCTTTTCAATTTCTCGCTTGAGATGCAGGTTCCATTATGTTTTAATGTGTGTCTCTTTTTGTGTTTTCTGTCTGTAACTATGGGTTTTTGTTTATGCTGCTACCTGTCTTTCTCACATGAAAAAGAGATCTTTAACCTTATCAGGGATTGCCTAGTTAGATTAAAATTAGTAAAACTTTTGGTTTCCCCTTTTCTTCTAATTGAATCATTACACTTTTACAGGAATCACCTAGAAAATCGAAGCATAAAAGGCGTTATTGACTGCAATGGAGAAAACAGTAGCTAACGCCTTCGGTGTCCTTTAAGGACAGGCAGCCTCTCAGTCCTAAGGGTACTCTCCCTCTCCATTACATTCTTGACATAAAACCAGGCCCTCTTCCTCTCTCAAGCAGTCTGTCGCTTTCCAAACTTGCCACTGCTTCTCCTTCACGCTCAAACAAACAGCCAATTATTCCTCTTTTCAAATCCAAAGAAGTTCATTGGCATAACAAAGGGATACTTCAGCGTTACCAAATAGAACACACATGACACCATATTAGGAGTACATAAATACGCCCCTCCCTTACCCCACATTCCAGACACTTGTTTCTCTGTGTCCTTTTAACTTACAGGCCGAGTGTGGTGTGTGTGTGTGTGTGTGTGTGTGTGTGTGTGTGTGTGTGTGTGTGTGTGTGTGTGTGTCAAAGACTGATTTATGGGAACTACAGTATTAGTACCTACGATTTGCACCTGTGACATTGGAATAATGTTAATAATTCTGTCAAGATGTAAGACTTGCTGCCAGGTTTAACTTTTGTCCACATTTATTCTGTTTTAGAATGAAGCTGTCAGCAGGTCAATGTCTTAGCAAGTGCTATAATTATTCAATTTCATGACACACTCATAAGCCCTTCCACCGAATTCAAAACTATAATCTGCATTTCTTTCTTGCTTGCATCATCAGTTTCATCTGAGTCAAGCTTAATATTGAAGGGCATCTCTGTATTATACACCTGCTCTTTAAAAATGACCTTGAGAGGTTGCAATTCATGCGAGACTATTTTATTATTTAGCTGCATGGCTTTAAGGCCTAAAGGGATTTTAAATGTGCTTACATGTAGCCTCTGGTGTCCTGAACACTATTTTAAAGTTGTTTGTTTCTCAGTGCAGTTGTTCCAGTGACAACTCCCCTGGTAGCAGGTAATGTTAGGCTTTATCCGCCTTAGAGTGGAGCTCTGTTAAGTGCCTTCATAGCTCCATAGCGTTGTTCTGTTTGCATCACACACATGTATGTATTGCTACAATAACCAGCATTTATTCCACTGAACCGTGTTTACATTCTGCTTTTGTTTTTCTTATTCTATTTACATACATGCATTGCAGGTCTCCCTTGAAAAAGAGATACATTATCTCAATGGGATACACCTGGATAAATAAAGGTTTGAAATTAAATGCATATCAGACTTTTGCATGTACTTGATCCCTTGCATTATTTTCTCAACATTTAGCTTATTGTATTTTAATTGACATGTATATAGTTTTCTTCTTCTGCATTACTTGCACATTGGTCTTGCAACATAATCTTGTACTATTTTATTTCTACTCTACTCTGTTTTCTTTTGCACTTTTTTTCATTGTTTCATTTACATTTGATCAAGGTCTTATATATATGTATGTTGTTTTGTTTGAGGAGCCTGGGACTTAAGATGTCCATTGTCATAACTACACTGTACTGTGCATATGACAATAAAGCCTTTGAATCTTGAGCAGCTTTATAACATGATTTATTTGGCATCAAACTATTTTTTTAAACACTGCAGGAGGATGTGGTCACTCTGTCCCCACAATTAAAACAAACTTGCTCGAACATCTCTGTTATGTATTGTACGTAATATTAACAGGCACGTTATCCTGAAGTTACATTACATAAAGAACAGTTGTTCTGCCCTCGAGAACCATCAAACTAACGTTAACCTTAGCTACTAAGCTAACTTTAAACTCGCCAACAATGATAGCAATGATTCAGTGATGTCAAAAGCCAACAACGTCACCAAACTAGCTTAAACTAAGACATAAGCGCCACAAGAAAACAAAAACATCCCACAAAGAGCATTACTGTCTGACAGGTCGTGTGTGTCTGGTTTAGCAGTCTGGCTATGTGAAGTCCAAAAACAAGCGTAAAGTTACCTCTTTATATGAAGTTCTTTCCTCTTCTCCTCTTTGAAACTTCGCTTCCCTTATGTCGATGATGATTCAAGTGTTTTCTATCAAAGTCCACATAGAAAAGAAGGTGGGAAAACCACTCCTACGCAAATTAACAGAGCAACAAATTCATTATGCGGCGACTGCAACCTGTTACCTTTGTCGGGGATGTAACCGTCCCGCCCAGCCTCTCCGGAGGGAGCGCAGTGATTGGACCAGAGAGCTAAAGTGGGCCGGACTATAGATAAGGAAAACATTTGCTATTGGTGAAAGCTCTACGTCATTCATTCATTGTGCTGGACCACTTGATGACATTTTGGCTGTATAACGGAAGCCCATATTATTACTTTAGATGAAATAAACACATCATCTACCGGTATAACAATCACTTTTCAGGAACAGGGATTGGACGCAGATTAATAAAGACGGGTGCCGTTTGTTTCCCTCCAATTTGCCAGTAGATGGCGCAACTACTTACCAGCTGGTGGTTCAGCAGCAGCATCCAGGACCCTTTACTGAAAGCTCTATAGCCTACTACAAAAATACAAGTGCAGCTAAAATAATTCACCCAATGTCCTATTGTTATTTCCATTAGTACTTATTAAGTCAGTAAATCGTTGTTGGGTTACCCAAGAAGTCATTTAGTTATTTGTACCTGTCCTAGAGGTGTAATTCATGAAAGACTACCAATGTTTTTTTTTTTTTTACTGATTCTCTTGGAATATGCAGTGCTGTTTGGAATATAACATTTTTTTTGTTTTTTTCCAAAAATTAGAATGACATGTTTTAATCTCAAGGACGCTTTCCTATTTAAATGAATGTTATGGCATTTCTTAGTATAACATTAAAATTGAAATCTACCATTGCTTATTTATTGCATACCAACACTAGGGACATTAACAAACAGGGAGTCAGTCTTTAGTCTCAACTGTATTCAACGATGGCCTAGTTGAGTGCAACACAAATAAACTGTTACTCTAGTCTCCTGTTGTGCCATCCTCCTGTCTGCTTTTGCCAGGATTCTATTGTCTGCGGCGGGCCAATTCCTGATAAAGTTTAGAGATTGCATATCCTTTGACAGTAAAACTTCTACCCCGCCCCGCGCACACAGCCCCTCCCCATACTCCAGTGACATCCCACAGTCCTGGCACTAAACTTTCCTCTCCATCTCTTCTTCACCTCGACTAAGACTGGACGCATCATCTCACGCTCCGGGAATGGGATCTTTACTGGGTTCAAAGAAAAACTTCGCGTTCTTTCGAGTTTACGCTTTGCAGAGGCTACTTTTCAAACTGCAGGGATAGTTGATATAGTTGTCACTGCTGGTGCAGGGTGATGAGCAACAGGAACCAGTGACTTCCAAGACGAACCAGAAGTTGTCAGGGAGTTTCGGACGGTTTAAAAAGTTAAACAACACGAGGTGTGTCGTCTGAGTTTGAAGTTGAGTAATTTCAGACTAAATTACCTTCAAACGACGCGTGCGTAAAGTTGGAGCTGTGGCGCACGGTTGTTTAAGTCGGGTAGTGAATGCGGGAACGTGTAGAAAACCTCTGGGTTAAGTTTTAAATCTGTGAGAAGTGACAAAACCTTGACACCATGGCAAAATGGTTTAGAGATTTCCCTATCAACTTGAAGAACGGAAATGAAAGGGTTCGCTCGGCTTCTGAATCTGGTCCACAACCACGACTCAAACCTTCGTTTTCTCGTGACAGCCTGAAAGGAAATCAGCGCAAAGATGGAGGAGTGGGGGGTTTATTGGCAGGTAGAAATAGAAAAAATTCCGCAATAGACTTGGGTCGTAATAACGCTGGTTTTAGTGGGGCTGTATGGGATAGCCTCACACAAGGAAAAGGTCGCAAAAACTCCAAGGTTGAGAGTGGGGCACCAGATGAGAACCGCCAGGTCAGGACTTCTAGTTTGGCACACGCGTACATTAGCAGGATGATCAAAGTTGACAAACAAGACAAAACACCCAAACTCAATGGAATAAGTGAACAGAAGCAGCCCGAAGAAGAAAAGGGAAGGTCTGACATTAAAACAACTGTAAGTAACCATGTGTTCAAGTTTTGGATTTTCATATGTTTATTGTTTATCAGTATATCAGTTATCGCGGCATGCAGATTTAAAGTATATTTACTGTACGTTGCTTAAAACTGATTCTCATTGTTGGCTTTATGTCAGGGCTTTCCTTTGTGTTTTCCCTTCCCACCTCAGTTCATAACCCTGTATTCAGTTTCCACTGCTCTCAAAAGAATACAATGCAGTTTCACTACATTGTGTCAGATCAAGCAGGCAAACACAATGTGATGACCTCTTTGCCCTCCTTCTGCTTGTCCTTCTATTACTTGTCATTTCAAGTCATTGACACCAAACACACACACACACACACACACACACACACACACACACACACACACACACACACACACACACACACACACACCACACACACACACACACACACAAACTGCATCAGATCCCTTTTCTGCTCTGTTGTCTCCCAGTAAATGTAACATCTGAATACATAGCCGCATCAGCATGTTTTCTTCCCTGACATGTCTTTTCTTTCTTACAGCTGATCATCCTGGAGGACTATGCAGATCCTTTTGATGCAGAGAAAACCAAGGAGCAGAGGGAGGCCGAGAGAGTAGGAGTGAATGATGGGTACATGGAGCCCTATGACGCCCAGGTCATCATCACAGGTGAGTTTAGACTTGTGATCCATCTCCAGCCATCACAGGTACGTTGACGAAGGGCCAAATCGGCCAAATCTGGACCACAGTTTGTCTAGAGAAAACAAAACAAAATGTATTTAACACTGTATTTAATATTAGACAAACTATATTACACGCAGTTCAAGGTTAGCATAGATTATCTGCGCTCACACTGACACATTCTTGCTAAAAGGCCATTTTAAAAGGGACTTTGGGCCAAGCCAGACCCTCAGTGTCTCTACTGACTTCCCTCCCCGCTGGCGGTTACCGTAGGAACAGTGTTGTGCAGGGACAATGGGTGCAGCTTCCTCTTCCAGCTTCCTGTCTCCTGCCTCTGTTTCCTTTGCCCCATTCTCTTGATAGGAAGTTGGCCCCAGTGCCCCCACATAGAAACACACACACACAAAATGCTTTATGGTCCCTTACGTGTGAAAATAATTGAAAGCCCCTCCTCACCCTTCCAAAAACCTACAGGTCCCCCCCTGGTCTCGCCCAATCACTTCCCAGCAGCCAGGAAGTGGCCTGGTCAGCCAACCAATCAGCAGCTGTGTTGACCTTTTCTTCCTGTAGCTCCATTGTTTGATCACACAATAGTGCAGACACACAGGCTACCTGTCAGACAGTAAAGAAATACAAGTGAAAATCCCCTCAAATGTAATGACATGTCAAAACAAACTTAATTTAGAAAGAAAATCCCACTCAACAAGCTGACGGGGTTAAAAAAAGTTGTGAAACTCATATTATATTTTTTCATTGTTAAATGTACCTATTTATCAGTGTATTAGGTTAATCAAATCAAAGCTAATACAGTATATTGTAATACATCAGCTCAGAAATGTATTGTACATTATTGACATTCATAATGATTAACTGTAACTTATACTGTTTTTGCTGAGACATAATGGCCATGTTAAATGCTGTCTGGTTTTGAAGAATAGCTGCATTGTGCTATAATGGGAGGTGTCATTAATACTTTGGACTTCCCACTGATATAAATAACGGTAGGCAACATATTAGAGACAGAATTCGACCTCATCAAGATATTGCAGAACTGTCGTAAACACAGAGCTCACTATTACATTATTGATCCAATAGAGCTCACTACATGACTGTGTTAGAGAATCAGTATGCAATCTTGTGCGTGGCAGGTATTTCATCATAATATGTAATTGCATTTGTTTGAGGTTGGTTGATGAGAAACTCATACTGAAGGCAAAACTACTTGCAGCAAGAAGATGATCTACAAAGTAATACGACGCAATGCTGAATACACACACACACACACACACACACACACACACACACACACACACACACACACACACACACACACACACACACACACAGGCGCATACACAGGCACACACACAGGCACACACACACACACACACACACACACACACACACACACACACACACACACACACACACACACACACACACACAGCACTGTGTACCAAAAAAAGAACAGTGCAATCTTCCTCCTTAAGGTATAGCACATTGCCACCTGCTTCATCTAAAATGTCTTCTCGATGACATTTTGAGGAAAAATTCAGCTTCTATCTGGTACATGAATATTTTATGAAGGTATCAAAACATTAAGAGCCAACTCGGGATCAAAACATGACACATTTTAAGATAAACATTTTGAAACGGTCTTTTAGGAGATACAATGCTTTGTCTACCATAAATCCTTTCCATCCCAATAACTAACTTCATGACAATTGTGTTGCAGAGGTTCGCAGACGCGGCTCCAAAGACCTCCTGAAAGTGTGTGTTCTGCTGGATCGAGGGAAGGGAGAGGGGAAGGGAGAGGAGGGAAAGCCCTCGTCGCCAAACAACTACGACACACCGTATGAGGGCGGGCTGGAGAGCGACGGTGGGGGGGTGTGGATCCCTGTCACTCGGCCAGAGTCTGACGTCCGCCCCGCTGGAGAGTACGAACTGCCCTGGGAGTGGAGAAAGGAGGACATTGTTAGAGCACTGTCAGGTAGAGAAAGGGAGAGGGGGATGATGGGAAGGGTGGGGGTTTAGGGTGTGGAGGAAGGATGCCATGAGTTTTATTTGTACAGTAATGCAACAACATTTTTGTGTTTGCTTTAGAGAGGAAACAAAACAATCCTGCTGAATCAATTTCCAGAGATGTGTTTACTTTGGTATCTCTGGCATGCTTTAACATAACTTTATTTTTGAAAGGTTGATATTGTGTTTCCTTCAGCTCAGTTCGAGGCGGTAGACTGTTCTCCCACTAAAGAGGACGGTTCCCCCTCCGCCCGCCAGCAGCAACAAACCCTGAGGCAGAAAAACTGGAACCATAAAATACTCGTACCATCTTCTTCATCCTCCTCCTCTTCTCCCTCCTTTCCCTCCTCTCCTATTCTCAAACTCTCCCCCCACACGCCCCCATCTCCCTCCTTCCCCAACCTCAAAATCTCACCCCTCTCCCCCTCTTCTAGTCTTAACAAACTTTCCCCTCCGTCCCCCACCTCCCCCACTGCCCCACTGGATGGGGAGGCAGCCAAAGTGGACCCCAGCCTGCCCCTGGAGAAGCAGAGGTAAGGAGGGAGAAGAGAGGACTTACTTATTCATAGGAAAGACGAGGAAAAAGTTGAATATGATGCTCATATAAATAAGTAGCAGGAAAAATAAGAACACTTTTTCACACTGGATTACAGCTTCCAAAATGTATCGGATTGAAATAGGCAACATTATGATCAATTAAACCTAGTTACGCTTCATTACACCATGCTGACATTACGGTATGTCGAATAAGATCAAAGGTGGAGAAGTACTTAGAACTTGAGTAAAAGTAGAAGTACCAGAGTGTAGGAATATTCTGTTACAAGTAAAAGTCTTGCATTTAAAATGTACTTAAAGTACCAAAAGTAAAAGTACTCATTATGCAGATTGGCCCAGTTCAGAATAATATACTATACATCATATGTTTTGATTATAATTATTGATGCATTAAAGTGTTATCAAAGCTGTTCAAATGTACTCCAGGTGTAACTAAAGTCTGATTTAAACGTTGATTATATTTCCCATCATTAATCCAAATCTGCAAAATAACTAAGGATTAGTGGATTGAAACAATTAAATAAATGAGATGACTGTGAGGATCATTTAACATTATACTATTTATCTTAATAACTGAAGAGTATAGCACTGTCTGTCCCTTGTTGTTCTGCTGCTACATGTTTGAACAGTAAACAATACATTTGCTTTTCTTCTCTTTCATGACTTTTACTATCTATGTTTGTAATAAACTCTGGACTGTTGAGGAACAGCGCCCTCCACAGTTTTGGCTGCAAAAAACTTATCTTGCTTGAGTATTAAAGCAGTCTAGCAGATTTCCTTCTATCTCTTATCTGGTGCTTCACAATGCCAAACTAAACAGAGGCTGCCAGTCCTGTTGGCCAGGGTAGATATTATACACTTGGCACATTTTCTTTAAGAGAAATTTGGCATTTAACATTGAGGGCATACACCAGTATCAGCCCTTGAGCACACACACATAGGGGGAGGAGATTCTGCAGGCAGGTGCATTAAGGAGGTAAAGCTTGAATAGACAGACTCATTTGAACTGTAAACCTTTCTTGTGGGCTTTCTTCGAGATGGGACATGTGAGGAACATGCTCAGAGCATGTGTGCATTTGTCCCTCTTATGTTGTGGCTGAATATCAGTGTGTTTTTCCTCCGAGCTTCAAGGCCACATACCGTGTGTTTATATATGGCTCTAGCCTGTGGCCACTGTCAGCACCACCTTGTGTCCTAATAGGCCTCTCTTGACACTGCACAACCACATACATTATGTTCCTCCCTCTTATTTATCTCTTTGCCCTCTCAAGTTGACCTCTGACATTGTTAACTCATTCAGTTCACCATATATGTCGCTGTGATTTATGGCGACTGTAAATCTCCATTGGTGTCTGTGTGTTTCGTTCCTCCCGGCATTCAGTTACTCTTTTTTTTCTGTCTCTCACCATCACCACCTATCATTATCTTGCCATCTGACTTATCTCCATATGTCGCCTCGCTATATGTCAATGATCTGTGTTTTTTCTCTCTCTCTCCTCCCCCTCCCCCTCCCCCTCCTTCCCTCGGCCCTCCAAGCTGGTACCATGGCAGTGTCAGTCGGCAACAGGCTGAGGCTCAGCTGCAGCGCTGCAGGGAAGCCAGCTTCCTGGTGAGGGACAGCGAATCAGGAACCAGCAAATACTCCATCGCTCTGAAGTGAGTTCACTGATTTGTGTTTGTTGAACACAGTACAGCATGTACATATCTTTTTATAAACTATCCACTTGAATTTTGCTGCATCAAAATCTCTTTTTTTGGCTGAATTACAACACTGATGACATTTGTGTCATTTTGCTTGGAAATCAAATATGTTTTTCTGATTTTAGTATTTAGTATTACTTTCAATGTTGTTATACATGGGTATAGCTCATTTATTTATTTATTTACTCATCAAAATATGTTTGTAGGTCTTGGTGCCCACTGCCTCAACCACTGATTGAGCCTGTGTTTGGTTATTTTTAAGAAATTCCCAAGGTGTTACTCCCTTTGCAGTGGCCACCTCTAAGGCGTTAATGCATGAGAATGTGTGGCATTTGTAGATTAGACACTACCAATACGTGTGCCAAGAACAGGTTCTCTAGGATAAAAGCTGAAATCCTGTGGAGTAATTCTGTGTATGTGCGCAAGTGTGCATGCGCCTGATTGCACATTAGCTGTACGGTGCTCATTCATTTGAGAGTTCACATCATTAACCCCATTTATGAACTCTGGAAATGAACAGCCTCATCTGAGAACAGCCAATACGAAGAACCTTTTTTTCAGATTGTGTTTTGGTTTTTCAGCATCTTATAACCCTCTATTTCTGCTCAATTTTTTTGCAAGCCTGTCTCATCTGACGATACCTCTTTATTCTTCTTTTCTTGTTCCATTAGGACCAGTCAGAGTTGTGTGCACATCATCGTGGCCCAGACGAAGAGTGCCAAGGGTTTGGGCTTCACACTGGATCAGAGCAGCTGTGTCTTCTCTAGCATCCCTGAGCTGGTCCACCGCTACTGCACACACAGACTGCCTTTCACTGGAGCAGAGCACATGACCCTGCAGCATCCCGTACCCCGGCCACACTGAACATGCGTCAAGGAAAAGCAAACACACTGGGATATGAATACACATGCACAGACAAAAGCAGAGATATATACACAGACTCACGTAAACTTGTTTATACATGAGTTCACACACTCAAAGATATGCTGCTTTGGATCGTACTACCTTAATATGTTTATATGTTTGTATCTCCTCCATGTGCTACTTAGTAGTCACAGTCATATATTACAATGATCATTGATCACATTGTCTAAGTGGCAATTGTTTCATTGTGTCCTGCCTAAAAGCCACATTGAATGAATTTATAGTTAGAGGAAAACCAGCCCTTCCACTTCTAGTGTATTTTTCTTGTCAAAACTAAGTATCCGGGAAACATTGATTTCTATATTTACCTGGAAAAATGCACTCACTGTAACCATTCAGAGGTTCGTAACCTGTCCTTTCACAGAGGTGATGACATTGATTAGTGACATGTCTTCCAGTTAGGCTTGATTTGAGATCAATACACCTGATTGGAGTATATTCATTCATCCATCTGACATGTCAATCAGCCTATTGATCTGTACTGAAAATCAGGCTCACCACTCTGTCTGCCAAGAGACTGAGATACATTAATTAGGTGTTTAGAACTTGTGAAGTGGGAGGGTCTTATATCATTACAGTACCCAGTCAGCAAAATGATTTGTTTATGTAAATGTGCAAAATAAATTGCTGACTATATTGTTCATTTACGTGCCTTCACTGTAATCTAAATGAGGTTGTGATCAAAAGCTATTGTGAATGAATTTAAAATGTTGCCATAAAATATCTATGCATAAATGGTGTATGTGTGAAGTGACTGTTGGAGATTTATTTTGTACATGGACCACACAATGATGTGGACTGTATTTTATTGTGGTAAGACTTTTATGCAGAAATAAAATACAACTGATATTAACTGTGGACTAAGAGTGTTATTATTAGACATGCCGGCAGCAAAAGTCAAAGCAGGGTTCAAGAAAAATAAGCGCAGACACGGAGATGAGAAGTGAATCCATGTGCTTTTCTCGTGTAGCTGTAAAACCATTGACCTGAGCGTGAAATCAATTACAGTTACACGCATGCAAGCCAATGCATGCGCTCACACTCACCTCACCAACAAAGACCTACTGCCGTGAGCAAACACATAATTCTACACGTTCAAAATGCACACATGAATAGCATTTACCCACACAACCGGTAAGGTGGTGTATTTAAATCCTCTCGCCAAAACACACACACACACACACACACACACACACACACACACACACACACACACACACACACACACACACACACACACACATGGAGCTTCTCACAAAACACAGAGCAGCTTAAACCTCACAATGATGCATGAGAGAGTATGTTTCTGGTAAGATATGTCTAACCAGTAAACACCAGTGTGATTGTTTGCATGGGGATCTCTTAAAGTGCGGGTGTGTGTGTGTGTTGTGCATTCCAGCGATAACATGCCCATGTGTGCAACCATGTATGCATTATTGTGTGTGTGTGTGTGTGTGTGTGTGTGTGTGTGTGTGTGAGAGCGCGAGAGAGGAGAGGGAGAGAGAAAGGGAGAGAGGGAGTCAGAATTTTTCTGTTCAGGGATTACCGGGTTGCCATGGTGATTAGTTAGAGTGAGGTAGGGCCATCTAGGGAAGGAGGAGAGGGAGGAGAGAGGAAGAGAAAGAGGGAGCAGAGACAGGCTGCCATATAAAAAGAGCTATGAATAACCGTAGCCATAGCAATGTTTGGAAGCTCCCCCACAGAATAGCCTGCTCGCTTTGTGAATGGAGAGAAGCAACATGTGAGTAAGTGAGTAAAAGTGATCCTCTCCTCCGTCAGCTCACATAACTGACATTGACGCACTTCATCAATCATATACAATACATACACCTCATCAGAGGGTCAAACAGAAGGTTCCACTGCAGAACTAATGTGTCACTTCAGCAAGGAGGAGGCTAACTTCAGGGTGAACCGAGGCTTTCCGCTTGAGTAGTTCACTCTCATATTGGCCATCCTGCTGCACCCAGTGTGTCACAAATGGCAATGTTACACAACAACTGACACTGCTAACTATGACCCTTTCTCCCATCCATGAGATCTGTTGAGGTTAGTCCTCTATCTTCTCTTGATTAAATCACAAACTAGGTCAAAACAAACAAGATGCCTGGGGTGTTGGACATATGATTCCTGCAGAGCTTGTTTTTGGGAATGGTCCCAACCAAGTAGCCTACATTCCTAAATGCTTGTCTGAGATTCTAGGTCTTGTACATCATCACTGTCCAGTAAAAAACATCCATCTTTTGGTTAAGTATTTTTTTATATGAAGAACTACATGTTCCTTGTTTGGCTGAGAAAGTTATCCTACTTCTTAAGCTCAATAAAAGATTAAAAAAAAACAATATGGAGTAAACTGACGTCACATAGGGACATGTTTCATAACTCATAAAAGAGTTGACCATTGGGAGATACATGGTTTTTACAGGACAAGAAATATATGCATACTTTCTATACTGTACACTGAGTTTATAATGTATCACCAAAAGTATTCTTATTTTTTTTAAATATGGCAATCCCAAAATATACAAATATAAATGTACTGTAAGAGCTGGCTTAAAATGACTGCCTTACAAAATCATAGCAACAAATACAGGAAAGAAAAAGCAGCATAATGACAAAAACGTTATCTTGTTACTGCAGGATGTTGATGTAGTTTTGTTGAAGCAAATTTAAACTACTTTTTCTACCGCTGGATTGCTTAATCTTTATAATAACATCATATTTTACAAGATGATCATTTTAAAGTATACCAAAGCTGTTTAGTAAATAATAAAAAGTACCATTGTTGCCTCTGAAATGTAGTTCAAAGGAAAAAGTGACATAAAGTACAGGACTCTCAAAATGATATCTTGTATCTTGCTTGTGGAGATGAAATGTTACGTGAAATAAAAAACATTTGTCTTATTCTTATTCATCTTTCCTTGATCCATAGATCAGATTCCTATGTTGTTAATCAAAGTGTGCCCCAGGTATGACAGAAGCACAGGAAGTAACTGAAGCACCAAAAGACAGAATGACAGAGGAAGCGACAGAGGAAAGAGGAGAGAGAGGTGGGGAGGAGGGAGAGCGTGAGGGGGTGTTAGGGGAAGACAAGCACTCGTGGGGGTCCCAGCTTTTAAATAATTCAGAGAGACTCACAGCACTCCGTGCAGAGGAGTAGCACTGTCAGGTCAGCTCATTTACTGCAGAGGAGAGGGAGAGAGGGAGAGGAGAGGACTGTACAGAGAGAGAGAGGAAGAGTGTATAAAGATAGAACGAGGACATTACTGTGGGAGAGTTTGCATGCATATCTACAGGCCATCTGCGCATGCGTATCCTTTGTGTGTGAAAATAGACAAAATGAAGGAGAACAGGTTGTTTCCTCCTGGAGCTTTTGGGTTTCTCTTAGTCACCACGGTAACCGCCTCCTCCCTACATCCTGCACTCCTTTGCTTAGTTCACTCTTCCCCCATCCATCCCTCCCACGCTCGTTTGACTCCTCCTGCTGTACCCCTCTTCATTTGCTGCATTCCCTCCGCCCCTCATCATTCAAATCACTTGTTTATTTATGTTGTTATCATCAGGCTCCTGACTCTCAGTCTTAGTAAGCATGCTGCAAAAATCTAGAACAAGAGGAAATATTGTAGTCCCACTTTATGGATACCTTCCCTCTTAACTCCTCCCCCCCTGTCACCCCCCCTACCTGTCTGGCCCTTCTCTCCTCCCCATCTTTCAGACTCCTGCAGGTTTGACTTTGTGATTGGGGACTAGAGGTCACCACAGTCAGCTAGAGGGAAAGAACCAAAAGAAAACTTTTAATAAAAGATAAACAACGGGATGTAAAAATAGAAAGATCTCATATGAGAAGGCAAGACTACCGCGCAGGTTCTAAAGGATGAAGATTATTCACAGAAAAATAACTACATTATTGGCTCAGGCAGTCCTGGAAATAAAAGGTGTTATAAGGTTATTTAATGAGTGGAAACTAGAGCAGAGAGACTCACACCTTAGCGAGAGATAGATTGTTCGACTATACAACTTTTTTTTTTAACTATGACTATCTGTAATCTATTTTCTTATGGCTCCTTACTGAAAAATACATTTTGTAAGATTTAAAAATACCACCATACCGTCACAACCATTTCGACCTGGGGCTAATATTAAAGATAAAGCAGATAGAGACGAGAGATGCCATTAAGTTTGACAAGGTCACTATTGAGCACCACAAACACTGTACGTGCCTAAGAGCACTGACTATTAAATGGTGATGTGTGACTTTGTGAGGGGAAGACACTGGCATCGCTAGCTGAGCTGAGGAGCATCAGAGGTATGCCACATCCTCCCCTCCCTCCCTCCTCCTCCTCCCCCTTTCTCCTCCTCCACCAC